TGATATGTACATTGACTTCTATGGCAGAGAGTTGCAATCCTGGTTTATCGGTTGTCTACTCAACCTTCGGCTTGACACCTCCTGGAAGATTGAAATCAGCATTACTTGTTGGAAACTTCGAGAAGTTAGGAACCATAGTCTTTTCACTAATGAAACTTTTGCTATTGATAGTGCCCTTTCTCAGATTAAAACTATAGTTGATCATATCTTAAGATTTTTTTTTTTTTTTTAACAAAAGGATATCCTGATGTGAAGTTCCTTTTACTCGCTTGTACAGTTTTCCTTTTGAGTTCATGAAATTTCCAATTACAAAAAAAAAAAATTGCTAGTACTCCACATTTGAGCTCTTCTCTTTATTGATATGGGGTCAACTTTGAAATTGGATTAAAAATGTACTTACTATTAAGTTTTGTCCTACATAATTAATTGAAGAAGAAAACTTGCTCTACAATAAATACTATTAGATTTATCACTTGTTGCCCGTGTAAATTAAGACCTAAGTAATGACTTTTTTTTTTTTACAACTTCTTGCGTTCATTCATATAAAAAATACATTTTTTGTAATTTTTCACCTCTTCTAAATTTAAATAAAATTAGCTTACTCAAAGTCTCTAAGTAAAATGAAATATGTAACATAATAAATCATATACTCCCTTCACTAAAAAATATAAGACATTTGTAATTGAATCTCACCCTCTAATAAAGTAATTATGTACTTTCAAACTAACTCTATCTTTTCATATTTACTCCTATCAAACACCCAATAATAAATCTAAAGTCATTATTAACAGGGACATTTTTTTAAAAAAAAGGCAACGATTACATCTCAAAAACTAAAAATGTCTTATATTTTTTAACATTCAACTCATCAAAAGATGCCTTATATTTTAAACGGAAGGAGTACTATAATTTATGTCATACTAGTATTTATAAATTACAACTATAGCCAAAAGTAAAAAATAAAATATCTTTTATGTATATATAAAATAATGATTTTAAATAAGGCAAATACCATAATTTGTTTTCAGGTACTCCTTCCATTCAAAAATATATGTATTTTTTGAGGAGTTGGATGTTAAAAATATAAAGCATTTTTAGTTTTTTGAGACGTAATCATTACCTTTTGCTCAAAAGTGTCTCTATTGATAATGATTTTATAATTATTGCAAGGTGTTTTAATAAGGATAAATATAAAAAAAATAGGATTAGTTGAAAAGTAGATAATTATTTTTTTGGAGGATGAGATTCAGTATAAAATGCCTTACATTTTTAAATGGAGGGAATATATATTAAAAATTTCAACAGAATTTTTTATTTTAAAATTTATTACTCTATATATAATGTGCAATTATAAATCATTAAAAAAGTAGTAGTTAATTTCAAACTCCACAAATAAAAGTTTATCAATATATAATTAGAAAATTTTAAAATAAAAAGGTTAAATTGAGATCTTATGAGCATGCAAATCTAATTGCAAATCGCATTATTTAATAGTATACTCTAAAATTAGAATTTTTTTACCAACAACATTTCGAACATTTGTTTCACAAAAATATGTTTCAAAGATGATTTGATTTGATGATGATTGGAAAGTGGCAGGCGGATCATTATGCTATAGCCCTCAGATCATTCCAATCCACCCGTTAATGTGTTTGACAACAAACAAAATTTGAACTTGGCAGTCCGCACCCCATTTCTCACATTGCATTCCTAGGTCTCTCTCTTCCCCTCATTCTCAAAGAGACACTGCAACCCTCTGACCTTGACAATCTCTATTTGTTCCATCGTTCTTCACCGTCTCTTGAAATCTCACATCATCGATTTCTTCGCTAGAATGCTCCCAGGACCAGTGATCGTCTCGATCTCAACTCAAAGGCTTCGGCTTCGTCCATCTTCGTCGCCTCCCTCCCTCTTCCTTCTCTTTTACTTTCACCCGCTTACCTTTCTTTTTTCTTTTTGGTTTTTTTTCCTCTTTTGGAACTGGCAGTGGCAGAGACATAATCGCAATGAAGTCGGCTGCATTTGTTTTCTTGGAGATGATAACTTCAACTATCACTAAAACAATGTGTACAGAAATATGAAGAAAGTGTTATCCTTAAACCTGTGATCATGGGTTCGGATCCTCTTGTAATCCACTCTCTTCTTTTCTTCTCTTTATATCATCTACACCCTTAAATAATTAAATCAATGGTCCGGATTTAATTTTTTTTTACCAACAAGTTCAATTGCTTTATAAAATAATTATTATATAAAAATAGATATATTTAAGTTATTAAAATTTGACCTGCACAATTTACAGTTGTATATCATTATTAAATTTTTATAAAACGTTTTATTTATTTATTTATTTATTTATTTATTTATTTTATTGTAATCATACACTATGTAGTTAAATTTTGATAGTTCAACTAGTTAAGGGAGTTAATTGTGCTTTCAAGTTAAATATGATAAAGGCATTTTGAAATGTGAGATCACAATTGATAATAACAATCTTACATAACAAGATTTGGACACTCATTGTCTAATCATCTAAGGGCGGAGATAGGATGAAGAAAAGAAAAGCAAAAGGCGAGAACGTGTAGGGGATCTGCTTCCTATGATCATCTTCCACCTCACCCAACGTGGGATGTGTGTGTGTTTTTTTTTAAATTGAAAAAAAATATAAGAAGTAAACTTGGTCGATAGCTGAAGATGTCTCTCGAGATAAGATGCTAGTGCGGTGGGTAGACCTCCCAATACAAACGAAAATTGACATGTAGCTCATGGGCTAACTCTGCTGGTCTGTCGGCCTTTGGTGAATTCCCTAGACAAAAGAAACAAGGATTTTGGACGTTGGTTGAATTCTTTTAACAAATATGATGGAGGAGTTTTTGCTAAAATAAAATAAAATAAAATTTTAAAAATAAATTTAGTATGACAATAAAATTTTAATATAATTTTAATTAATATATGTACTTAAAATGATAAAAGAATAGATTGTTTTTTTTCTAAAAATTAAAAAGACCTTCTTATCATAAGTAAACAAAAGGAATGAGAGTAATAGGATCCACAATTTAAAAAATTGAAGTAATTTTATAGTTAATATGATAAAATTTAATGCTAGTAGTTTAGTAGAATCAGAATGCTTGAAAATTATAATTTTTACATATCACACATACTTAAATTAAAATTACATGTCTGATTTCATTTTTACCTTTTTCAATTCAATGATAGGAAACGTGGCCTAAGACTGCTGCATATATCTGCTTTTCTCTGAAGCTCAATCTTCAAACCTGAGCTGATGACCTTAGCTTTCTGGCTTTACTTTTAGTTTTATGTGCTGAAATGGAGCCTTTGGAGGATGTGCCATGCCGCCTATTCAGGGAACAAAGAGAATCGTTTCGAGGCACGTAACCACTGTAAAAACACTGCTCATAATAATTACGTAAGTTTTTCGTACATTACCCGAAAGTTGAATACTAAGTGGTGTTGTTCATGATTTATGGCTTATGAACTATGTGACTCGGTATAAATTTTATATTTTATCAACAAATTGTTTGTCAGTGTAGCTCAACCATTTCAAGTTCTGTTTATAAGATCGTTGTTTTCTTAACCTTTATAATTTTTAGATAATGCGTTGTGTAAATTGTTTATTAGTAACAAGAAATTTGAAGCGTTTGGATTGTTAACAGAGGACATTTTAGTGTCATTAATTCGTGGAGAAGAATAAGCCTTGGTCTTTTAAAACATTTCTAGAAATAGTAAGACTTTTTATGTTGCAATATACAAATGTGGATTCTAATCTAGTTATTGCAGTTGGTGAATATGAAGTGTTTGAGTAAGGCATTAAGGCATGCGTACGTAAAATATCAAATGTAGTTAGACATGGCATGGGCAACACCTGAAAAAGCCACCTGCCTTGGTTTCTTTCCCCTCTTTCTCTCTCCGATTAGGTCAAGGTGCGAATCACTTATTTTCCAACAATTAATTAACCAATCCTTTTATTTTCTGTAATTACGTATAATCATTTAGCCGTGACATAATTTCAAGATAATTTGCATTCATAGCCAAGCCAATGGTATTGTGATCCATAAATGCAAAACACTCTCCTTAATAAGGCTGCGAGTTTGGTCTTCCACGAAATGAGATGCAAGTGTAAGTTCCTTTAATATGGTGGAGAATATGAAAAGAACACAAATTGTAATTAAAACATGGTTCCACAACAAAATTTAAGATTTCTCATATTTGGATTCTATGAGCATCTTAAATTCTCTCACACCCTATGAATATCCAAACCGTACTAGGATTTTATCGATGTTTAGATATTCATGTTTGATCATAAATAAATGAAACGATAAATTAAATGATAGTTTTATGAAGACGCATTTCAACCATTCCTTTGCAATTATTTAATTTGTTAGATTACAATATAGGATATTAAAAAAATAAAACTATTATTTGGTATTCTCTGATGAGTATCTTACATTAACATTTTTATTTTTCAACTAACCATTTGATTGAATTGACATTCTATAGTGTCATGTGAAACACTCGCTAAACAAAAAGAATACTCACCAAATCTGAATTCGGATAGCTCACATTTGTGTGTGTTTGTGTGTTCAGTGTGCCTAACGCTAATATGCTGCACCATATAAATTTCGATGTTTGAAGTTAAGAAAATGTAAGTAATTACAATCAATTATTTACTTTAGATATAGAAGTCTAATTTATCCAACACACTCTTGACTTTTAAATCATATTCAAATAATCTCCTTAACCTTTGATATTGAACAAAAAAAATCATCCGTCTAGAGTAGCGTTATGCTATAGATTTTTAAGCATGTACATATAAATCTCCTAAACTAAATTATTCCGCGAAGTATATTATTTTCTGCATGTACTTCTTGAACTTTTGAGTTACGTAGCGGCAAAGCAATTGCATGAGCTAAAAATTTAGTGAATCCACAAATTTTGCAATATTCGTTATTAAATTTTAAGGCTTAAAATTATGTACAACATACTAATGTAAGTATACGTTATGGAGTTCCTGTGACTGGTACAAATTTTAATAAAGAGCCAAAAGAAAAAAGCATTAAAAAGAAAGAAATAACACCAAACTTTATCCATAACGGCATAACCTGTGATGTATATGTCTGAACAGTATTTTTCCACAGTGACAGTGGCTGGGTCCCATGAACATGAATGATCATCCTCAGTTCATCACCAAAGCATCCTCAGATCACTTTCCCTCACGAAAAGCCCATGAAATCCGTAAGGAACTCGCTGGGGCAGCGTCACCGCCGCCACCACATCAAGCTCCGGCGACTTGGCATCCATCACCAAGAACTTCGACTCTCCCTTCTTCTCATCGTGCACGTATGTCACCACATACCCATCGTCTTCCTCTGCTTCTGCGTCCTCTGGATCTCTAGCCACGAAGAATGGCTCTCCGCCGTAGCACCCTTCTCCGAACATTTTGCACCCCACCGTGCAGTCACGTCTTTCGTCTCCTCTCGACACGTCCAGCTTCACCACCCCTGAGATTTTCGGCATCGGATCCCCAATCGCCGCGTACACGAACTTGTTCTTCTTTCCCAAATAAGCTTGATTAATCACTCCGAAGTCCAGATTTCTTGCTGAAATTGGTTGTCTCGTCACAATCCCTGTTCTAAGATCGATCCTCACTTTCTCTACCAAGGCGTGAATCAGCTCCAATCTCTCCAGCGTGTGTTCGACGGATAGAATATTCGGTGCTATCAGAACTATACCGTTTCCATCTTCATCGTCCCAAGCGTTAATGGCGTGAATGACATTGAACCCAGGAACATTGAACCATTTTATCTGAGACTCGTCTTTGGCGTACCGGGGAAGCACTCCGATTCTCGAAACCTTCGACGAGTCTGAGCCCACCGGAGAGCCCCCGGCAAGCATGTCAAGAGGGTTCATTCCTAACTGTATATCCACGAAGATGGCGTATTTCTTGGTGATGGCGAAGTCATGCAAGAAAGCGGGGCGGATCATGGAGAAAACGGGCACATCAGGCTGCTTGACACCGTCGGAATCGAAGCGGAAATAGGTGAGGAACGGAGGAACAGGGCCGTAACGGAAAGCGAAGGCCTCACCGGTGTCTGGGTCTACTTTGGGATGTGCAGTCATACTCATGAAAAGCTTGCCATCGAAATCATGACGACCAAGAGTCTCTACATCTCCATTCGGTGTCACTTTGACTTCATAAGGAAGATCAGACTCTCCCAAAGCAAAGAGACGATTCCCAAACAGAGCCAAGCTGGTGTTGGCGAGGCCAATTCCATTAACAGGATTGTACTGACCAGTCAAGACTCGAGCTGCGGTGAGGGACCCACGGGCCGCAGAAGCAACGAGGCCATTGAAGCCAGAGAACACGTTGGGAAACAGAGGATACCCAGCTTGGTTCTCGACGTTGTATTTATAGGTTTTAACATATCTACTACACAGAGTGGCTTTGCCTTGAGAGATGAGAATGGAGTGAAGCATGCCATCGCCGTCGAAGAGATGGTAAGGTCCACGAGGGAGGAATTGTGGGTTAGGACCGTTTCGAATGTAGGCACCGTCCAGACAAGGAGGGAGCGAGCCTTCAATGATGTCACATTCAATCGGAGGAAGTTCGTCGACGGGAGCGAAGTTGCTGGAAAGGACACATTTAGGATCGACGGAAGGTTTGATCGGTGGGTCTATGAAATTGTTGATGATGGTGTCAAAGGAATTGAAAATCAAGGCAGGGAAGGATTGTTCTGCCGGTCTTCTCTTTACCACCCTTCTGAAAGCTTCTGGTTCTGATACGGTCTTCTGGGTAGAGGTGGTGGAGGGTGGTGGCGGAGGAGGAGTTATGGCGGGTGGGGTCGGTGGAGGCAATGGTGGGGTGATTTCGACGGATTGGGTCTGGGGTTTGTCTTCGATTCTGACGGAGGAAACGGAGAGACGACGAGGGACGTAAGGAGAGGGAGAGGATAGGTATGAGGGAGAAGATACAATGAAGGGTTTGGGGACCATGGCTGAGGAAGAGAAGAAAAGCTTTGGCAGATCTGAATATTGAGGGAAGAGCTGAAGCAGCAGCAGGGTACTTATGAGTGATGAGCGGAAGGGCGAGAAGCCAGGTAGACTCGACGGACAGTTTTGACCTTTTGACACAATGACACCCATTAATTTCATGCATTTCACAATAAAAAAACATGAATAACAGCATAGAAAATTGCAGATCCATCAGTGCATAACAGTATTCATAATCTATCTAATAAAAATATAATATTTAAATGAAATTAAATATAAATTAATTTTAATATTAATAAAAATAAAAAATACAAAAAATTAAATAAATATTTTATAATAAAAATAAATAAATTAAAAATAATGATATATAAAATCATAAATTTTTTTTATTTGTATAAGAAACAATGTTCCAATTCCAGGCTAAGGAAATGAAATCTACTTTCCGTCCACATTTAATATATTTTTATTTTTTATTTTAATAAATTTTTGTTTTGATAGATATATAATTTAAAATAAAGATAATTTTATGGTTGCCAACCGTTTTGAAAAAAAAAAAATTTATACAAAAAACTAAGGCAAATTTTTTTTAACCTAAACCAATCTTACCATTGTCACGAGCAGCAAACACTTGTAGATGGAATCGGATGATAAGTAATGTAGCTTTAATTTATATAATTATTATCATCATTATTTTTGGTGGTGGTGGTAATTCTAAGGTCACATTTGGGTACAAAAATTTTGGCCTATGAAATAGTAATTATATCACCATTTTAACTTTACCTATGCTTGGTTGTTTATAAGAAATATAGAATGATCCTTCCTAAGAATATGGATTATTATATTTTAAAAATGGGCAAACTTTTGAAAAATGAAAGAAATCATGTCATTCATCTTAAATTCAATATATTTTTTTATCAAAATGTTCTCATTAACTTTTCATGTCTAGCCTATTTCTTTCAATAATTTTTCATTTTTGCCAATAGTCAATTTTCTAATTTTTAAGTTGATTTTTCTTTAAAAAATAAATTTATTAACATTTTTAGTTTTCATTGTATTCAATATTTTTTCTTTAAAAGAAGTTTTTGAATTTAATCAAATTTTAAATTTGATTCCCTGTGTATGGTATTTTATATATCCTTCTTAATGTTTTTCTCTCATAAAGTAAATTTAAAATTTAAAATAATTTAATTTTTTTAATAACATTATGCGTGTGGATGTGAATTTAAGCTAAAAGTTTCTGAAAACTTTTGAACTAAAGGGAAGGAAGGCAAATGCATTAATGCAAGAAATAATATAGTTATGATTTTTTATGTTAGTTTATATTTAAACAAATAATATAAACAAACTTCATTCTCACCTACTTAAATATTCTACCAGGCAAATTCATAGTTATAATCATTTCTTTCTTTTTATTCTCCATAATTCCATTCATTTCTATTACCTCCTTTTCTATTAACCAAACGCCGGCATCATCTCACTAAATGCCATAAGGTGAAACCACGTAAATGGATCAATCTAGTGTGAGTGAACATACAACAAGAGCTAAATTCCAATTTGGTTGTTGGAAAAAAAAATAACAAAATAGATTAAAAAATAAAGATAAAAATAAAGTGAATTGGAAGGGATAGATGAACTGCATTAATAAAAAAAAGTAATTTAATTTATGCAATTATGAACAATCATTTATGAGATTTTTGAAATGTTTGATGATTTCTATATTTACATTATAATAATAAGTTTTATCACGTTTATAGGAAAGATATATTTTATTTTTTTTTAATTTTTTTGATTCCATTCTATTCTGGTCGTTCCTAATAATTAACCAGACAGGACCTAATATAGATCTTTACATTGTTTACTTGCTTCTGATCCCTTGGGGAAAAAAAAGGTATCTATCCATGCTCTCTCCGCAAGTTATGTTGAGCACCCGTGGGATTGCTGGAACCACGGTGCAGCGGTGGAATCATGAAATTTTAATATACTTCTTACATAAAAAAATATAAGTTTTTTTTAGATTTTATGTCTTAAAATTAGTCAGAGATTTTTTTCCCAAAAATACTCTTCATATATGAGCCACTTTATCTTCTATGTTTAAATGAGATATCCTATTAAATATTAGCTAATTTGGAAATATGATATTAATTTAAAGATAAATAACCATTCCCTTCGTATCTAGATCACAATATAAAATATTTTTTTAAGGTTTTACTTGTTCCAAAAATAAAGCATTAAGTAGCTTGTATAATTATTTTTCTAACTAGACCCTTCCCTTATTTATTTACTCTCTTTGAAAAACTGATATGTATTGAAGTTTTAATTATTATTATCAAAATACTTATATAATATTTTTAATCAGAGTATGATTGAAAAAATATAGTTTTAAAAGAAATCAAGATTTTAACTAACATTTTCTAAAACTATTAATCACTTATCAGTGTCCTATATTATGATCCAAATGAAGTAACTTCCTGGAAGGTGTAATCTATTAGAATATTCAGTTATGACATGCCAAATTAGTTAGCTGTTTTGATTAATCAGTTGTGCAATTAGTTACTAATCAGATGTGCACGTGTTGTACTCTCCTTAATTAGAGCGTTCTTTATGTTGTACTCAAACTCAGTTGATTGAATATATAAGGGCTTTACTTTCTATTTTCATCATCTTAAATTCTGGTTTCTGATATTATAATCCAACTAAAAGTGTCATATATTTTTTATCGGATGTAAATTTCAGTTAAACCAAATTATAACAATCAAATAAGATTCTCATCAGTGAATTAAACAGTGAAATGATAATGATATTGACTATTAGAAATTTTCATGGCTTGTATTCCACATATTTTGAGATAAATTTAAAAATTGAATCGCACCATGAGTTCGCTTTGTGATAAAACTTATACTTTTTTTATATTAAAAAAAATCCAACATCAGGACAATCCTTGCCAAATGATTTTTTTAAATATATGTGGTCACGAATAAAAATCCATGAAAAAACAATCAATTAGCTGATATCATAATACAAAAAGTTTCCATGTTCAAGTGGACGATATTAAAAATCTTAACGTTTAAACTATCACTTGTTGCTGGGTGAGTTTTTCTTTCAAGCAATGACAATTTATGCCACAAGTCTCCACATGGTTTCACACAAAACTGTATGCAATGAGAATAAAAGGGAGATGTTGCGCCAATAAAAGTTCAATTTAATAAAAAAAAATGGTAGTCTCTCAAAACTAAGGTTTGAATTTTGATAAAAACATGTGTTTATATATAATATTTGACAGTATTTTGAACATGATTATTTTTAACATAATAGGAAGATAATAAAAAAAGGGGAAATGTTTCCAAAAAAATAATAAGAAAGGGGAAATAGGAGGGGCTCAGAAGCGTGTAAATCACGCACGGGAATAATTCTTTTGATCTTCCGGGGGGGAATCAGTTGTGCATGTGGCATATTGTGTGGTTTCCTTGAAAGAAATAGAATATGGAATCAAAGACTTAGAATCACCATTTTTACCCCTAACATTTTAACACGTGGGTTGATTATGCCTCAGTGATTTCCCTATGCATCTACGGTTTTTATATGCTCCTTCTGAACGTCACTTTCAAGCTCTCGGCATGTTTCACTGTATTAAAAAAATATTAAATCTGTCCACAAATTCAATCCGCTAAGTTTTCAACTTTGATATTATTAAGTTTACATATTTTAATACTTCTTTCATCTAAAATTATAAAATATTTTAAATAAATTTTTATATATTCATAAACTTTATTAAATATACTCAATAATCTTATTTTTTTAAATAAAAATATGAACTTTTTAAAATATTTATAATTTAATATATTAAAAAAAATAATAAAAATTAATTATAAGAGAGAAAGGATAATATTAAAATTGATACTTTTAATAAAACCTTAATCTATTTAAAATATTTTATATTTTGAGATAAAATTTTTTTTTTAAAAGTGTCCTATAATTTAGAATGGATGGAGTAATAAATTACTTTCCATTTAATAATTTTCGTAGCATTTAATAGCAAAAGAATAGATAAAAATCATAAAGATATCATATAATCAGCATCAAAATAAATATTCTTTGCCTAAAAACAAAATCCGAGGAGTATATAAAGAGATATCTCACGCACCCTGCATTTCTATAATGAGGAAGGCCACACGCCTCTTTCTATTGTTTCAATCTTACTAGATTTTCAATTCAGCCCATAATCTCACACGTTTGAAAGCATTTTGACGTCACTAGGCTAATATACTTCAACACATGCATATATTGAGTGCTATAGTTTGGTATATTTTATGGAGCCAATATATATTTTTATCAATATTTTAATTTGAACTGTGGAAATCCAACGTCAATGATGAGCAACTGGACACATAAATGACAGAATCCAAGTGCCGGACAATTTAGAATCAAATGTGGATTTTGTTTGGCGCACCAATGCAGGCCAAATCCGATGATGAACAAATGTTGTTATGATTGGAAGCCTGTGCAACGAGATTAGGAATGAATTTAAGAAATTAAATTATTACCCATGTTTTAAAAATTAAACCAAATTAGATATATATTTTTTAGTTGCCCACCCGATTCATTAGAGCTTTGCCCTACCTATATTCGGTTTTGATCTGAGTTGAGCACCTAGCTTTGGCAGGCGAGTCTCCCAACAAAAATTTTCTACATACACAAGGCTCAAATTCTAAATATTGTTTAAGTAGAATTGTCGCTTGTCACTCTGATCAAACCAAACAATTTGATTGGTTGTGTTGTCAATCAGAGGTTTTTTTACCCACATACTACAAACAGTAAAAAAAATTATCAAAATGCTACATCATAGAAAATATTTATCCAAATGTTACATTAAAAAGTGTTCAAACCGAGAACGAGTTTGTTGCTATCAAAAAATCATTCAGGCCAAGAACGATTTTATAATCAAAAATTATTTTGTTAATGAAAAGTGAAATCATTCAATTTCAACTTTTTTTATTAATATGACATTTATTTACTATTAACTGTGAGAATCTTTGCTTTCCTTTCTTACTTTACTTTTCTTGCATGATTCATTTAAGCACGAGATAGATGACTACTTACTATTATTAATGCTCCTTCAGCCTTCGAGTTTGATAAAATATCTGAGCACATGCAATGATATTGAAGATATA